TACCCAACCTCACCCTTCACGCCACGAGGCCTTGGCTTTAGTAGCTGCTGTCTATCTAATCTCACCCTTCACCCCACGAGGCCTTGGCTTTAGTAGCTGCTGTCTACCCAACCTCACCCTTCACCCCACGAGGCCTTGGCTTTAGTAGCGGCTGTCTACCCACCCTCACCCTTCACCCCAGGCCAGCCGACTAATGTCAGATATCCTGCAAGCATCCCAGACTCAGTGTGTTCCTTACAGACGTCACTACCAACTCCAGCCCACTGGGTAAAAGAGCCAGCGCCCCAACAGCCCCACGTGTAAACCTGCTGTGTAGGTTTACATTTGTCCAAACAGAAGGTCGAGGCCCCTCTCTGATAACGTGGAGCCGCCACGCCTTACCAGTTCCCTCTCCCTAGGCCTGCCTCGGGACCTGCTTTCAAGTCCTGCATTTCACTTGTCCTCCTCATAGCTGTGTTCAGTTCTGACCCTGCTCCTCCTTCTTCAGGTAGCTCAGGGTAGCCTTCAACCTGCTGTGGAGCTGACTCTGACCTGTTAGTCCTGTTAGTCCCCTGCCTCTACCTCCTCACGCTGGATTGCAGGCAAGTGCCACAGTTTATATGGGGCTGGAGATGCAGCCCAGGCCGCCACGCATGCTGGGCAAGCCGCTGACCAGCCAAGATGTCACCAGCTCCTCTGTGACAGCTTGCCAAAGACGAAGGCACCGTTCCTCTGCCCAAATGCCCCTGTGACCCCACCTCAGCAGTGTGTGCAAACTGTTCAGGCCCTCTGCTCTCTGGCTCTCGGCACACCCAGGGTGCTTCACACCCTGCAGCTTCTCTGGGATGAGCCTGCTGCCTCCCCTGCCATCACAACACAGGACTGTGGGGGCTGGTTCTAACGCTGCTTTTCCAAGGGCTACACAAATGGTCAGTGTCTGTTTGCTGTCTGTCTGTTTATTCACGAAGGAGTAAACGCCTAGTCATGCCCTGAGCTTCCAGTCAGGCTAACTCTCTGCCTTTCTTCACTGACACACCCTGGCTCATAATAGCAGTTTAGCAGGGCAGTTCTCCGAAGGTTTACACAAACGAAGCTCATACCCGCAGAGGGGCTCGGGCAGGAAATTACCTCTTTCTGAGTAGGAGAGCGGAATGGCCAGGTTTTGAACAGGCTTGGTATCTTTCGTCTCCAAGTACCAAGTGCACACAGTCTGCTCAGGTCTAAGCACGAAAACCAGTCCTCTGTCGGTGCCCGTTCCGGAGGTGCCAGGACGGAGGGTCTGTGTTTGGGAAGCAAAGCCATGGAGAAAAGAGAACCGAGAAATCACATCCGCTGCAAAGCCACGCGGGGTGCACAACTCTCCATAGACAACAAGCAAACAATCTCCGCAGTTTTTATCCCTACGTTCACACATCCACACTTCACACTGGAGAACGCACTCAAGCACTCAAGGGCTGGGGAGGTGGCAGGTAAGATCAGGCTGATCGTCCAGAGGACCTGGGTTCAATTCCCAGCGCCCACACGATGGCTCACAACAGCCTATAATCCCAGTTCCAGGACTTGACACCTTCTTCTGGGCTATACAGGTACCAGGCACATGTGGTGCACACACATACATACCAACCAAACGCACAAAAGAAAAAAGTAAATAAATAAAAGTTTAGCAATATAAACTACTGCCTCAGTCAGTCTGAACTGCTATAACAAAAGACAAGTTTTATGTCTAAACGGGGCAGAGTGAGGAAAGCGCTTTTGGGGAGCCTTTTTATGGGGCGCCATCTTATTGGAATGGTGTTGGGGTTGCTCTGGTGATGTGTATTCTGTTGCTAATTATTGCCCCCACGATCTGGGTGCTGCTCAGGTGAGCAGACACTCACGCACCTCAAAATGATGTGTGTAACCGGCCTAAGAAATTACCCCTGATTGGCTGATTAAAGCCCTGCCCTGGGCAGGGCACAATGGGGTATGTGAAGTCAAAGTTCCAGGGCTTTGAGGAGAGGAGGATCATGGGAAGAGGAAGGAGATGGGTACTGGAGGAGGAAGAAAGCCTCGACGGGTTGGCATGGAGAGGAGAACATAGGCAATGGCATGAATGGGGGAAAATGGTCCAGAATAAGTGTTTATGGAACTATGGATGGAGGTGGCCAAGACAGACGTTATCAGAGCAGACAGCCGGGGCAGGCTGGGAATTTAGAGGGTCAACTCTGCCCGGCCCGGTGCCATGAGGCCGCTCTAAATCCATTGGTGTCTGTGTCCTTTGCAGCGTCACAGTGGGCTAGGTAACACCCTGCAGTTGCAGGCTCATAGTGACACCCGGAGACCACAGCTTCAGTTAACCGAGACAGAAGGGCTTGCTCACGGCCGCCTTCCAGCTACTGCTTTTGAGCACAGGCATGTGTGGATGCCCACTCATATGCAAGTGTAACCATGTGCAGACGCCAGGAGTGTGAGCGTACAGGTGTGACCATGCGCATACATGTGTGAGCACACGTGGAAACATGTATGTATGCCAAGTGTGTGAGCATTCACGGGTAACCATGTGCATGCCAGCCGCCCTCAGAGGCCAGGTTCCCCAGAACTGCATTACAGATGGGTGTGAGCTGCCCAGGGGTGCTGGGAACTGAACCCAGGAACAACACATGCTTTTAATCACTGAGTCACCTCTCCGACCCCACACACTGTTTTTAGGACGCTGTCTCCGAAGCTGGAGTCACCGGCGGGCCAGGCTGACAAGCCAGGGTGCCTTACTCCACCTCCCAGGGCGCGGGTAACACAGCCACACCAGGCCTGGCTGGGCTTGGGTGGTTTTAGGGATCAACTGGGATCTTGTAGAGCGGCGCCAGCTCCCCAGCCTCGGTCTCCAGTTCTCAGCACCAGACACTGGGGTCAGGGTGGCCAGCAAAGCGCTCGTCTACCTAGGTGGCGGCCTGCATTTTATTCCCAGCCTGACAGGAAGAGAGGCAGACAGGAGAGAGAGGGGAGACACAGAGAGAGACAAGAGACAGAGAGAAGCAGGGACGGAGAGAGAGCTCTAGGAATTGCACACTGGCGTTTTCAAGCACGGCAGTTCCGCTGAGTGAAGATTTATCCTATCAGGCCCTGAAGCTAACGAGACAAAACAAGCGCTCTGGCCCCGAAGTTCGGTTTACAAAAAGCTTTCGCTGTAGATTTAGTTAGTTACTTATCTTTATCCTGTGTGTGCAGATATTTTGTCTGTCTGCACACCTGCTCACCGTATGCTTGCCTGCCGTGTGGGCACTGGAGCCAAACTCGGGCCTGCAAGAGCAGCCAGCGCTCCCTAACCCTGAGCCGCCCCGCTGGAGCACTCTCTCCCGTAAGGCCAGCGTGCCCAGGCCAGGTATCTCAGCTCCACTGTGCTGCGGAAGCTGGCCGTGACTCCTCACCCTCCCGCCTCCGCAGTCAGAATGCTGCCTTAGAGCTACAAGAAGGAGGAGGAGAAATGTTCCAGCTGAGTTTCAACTTGGCAAGTGGTGCCTGGAGTCAGTGGCTTCCTAGAGTCCGTTGCCATGGCAACCAAAAAAAAGCCAAGACTGATACTTGCCAGCTGAAGGGATAGAGCTAGGGCTCTGTTATCCACAGCCATCTCTAGAACCTGTGTAGTTCTGACCCTCTACACAGTCTGTGCGTTGAGGGCAGCCAGGTGCAGAAGGATGCCCAGGCAGAGAGGTCGCAGAGAGGCTGCCTGGGACTCGGCTGTGCAAAGGAGCCAGGCCACACGTAAACACACGTCAGATTGTAGAGATGACCTCACTGAAGTCATCCTTTGTACTTACCTTGGTAAATGACACCGTGGTGTTCTGATACTGGGAGTGAACTTGGAAAAGAAGAAAGGTTGTGTTGCTGGAAATGTGGCGCAGAATGGCCTCCCGCGGAAAGGGCCTACTGAGCACAAAGTGCGTAAATTTTCCCACAGAAAATTCAAGAAGACCTACAATGAGAAAGTTTCCTGTTACAATTCTGTACCTCATGTACCAATTTACGGAAATCCAATCCATAAGCTAACATGCAATGCTAATTCACCCCCCACGTCCCCCACAAAGTCAGGTAGGAGGCACAGGCCTGTCATCTCAGCACATGGGAGGCTAAGCCAATGGGATCTCTGCGAGTTCAAGGCCAGCCTGGACCTCTTGGTGTGTGGGTGGCGTGTGTGTGAAGGATAACATAGGTGCTACTGACTTCAGTGTGTACCCACTGTTGACTATGTCAGTCTCCATTCGGGAGTCCCAAACCCATGTATGAAGATGGCGAACAATTTCACCTGTTTTTTACAATGACGCTGTCTTAAAAACAACACAAGCATGCCTTCTGGTCTGTCAGCTGTGGTGGAGACAGTTTTCCCATCACGGAGGGATCACTAATGTTTCACTGTGTGAGGATCTTAGCTCATTTCTGTCCTCCATCTTCTGATTTTTTGTCCCCTTTCCATCTCACAACACAGACTTTTCACCTCATTTCCTCCATCTGACAGGAATCACAAAGTACTTATAAAAACACTGTCTGTGTCCAAGACTTGTGCAAGCAAATTCATCCCAGCCTATCTGTCCAGCCGCCTCCACCATCTCCTGGCTCTCCTCCACTGTGCCCTAGGCGTTTGGTGACCTCATTTCCCTTGACAGACTCCAAGCCACAACAGCTCAGACGGCCTGGAGAAGACTGAAGCCATCTCTAGTGCAATGTTGGTGATCAACTCTCCTTAACCTCTTTCTTCAACCCACAAGTGAGAACCAATCTCTAAGACACCGACATACTAGATGGACGGTGAAGGGCCGCAAGAGCAAGGACTCCACAGTGAGGAGCCTGGCTGCTCTGGCAGAGGACCCAGGTTCAGTTCCCAGGACCCACACGGCAGCTCACAACTGCCTATAGCCAAGCCTTCCTCTGGCCTCAGGCAGCACGCACATGTGGTGCACAGATGTACATGCAAACAAAACACCTGTGCACATAAGAGAACTAAATTTTTTACAAAAGAAACATAGAACCACAGTGATTAAAATGATTTAACAATTGGAACTGGTAACGTGAGCAGTGAGGTTAAAAGCAGGCATTGCTGGACGCCAAGCGGGTTTTCTTTTTTAAGATTTATATATATTATGTGTGAGTGCTCTATCCGCATGCACACCTGCACGCCAGAAGAGGGCACCAGATCCCAGTATAGCCGGCTGTGAGGCCAGGAATTGAACTCAGGACGTCTAGAAGAGCAGTGCTCTTAACCACTGAGCCATCTGTCCAGCCCAAGGTGTTTTCTTCACACATATTCTCTTTCAAGTTTCAAAGTGTTCTCATCAGAAATTTCATGATTTAACAAAAGCTTCCAGCTTTGATAGCCTCAAGATAAAAGTTCTGCCCTGAGTCTACATTTTAAAACAACAATCTCCCCCTCTCCAAAACAAAAACACAATGTTCAATTCTCAGCGCTCAGAAGGAAAAAAGGCATTAAGCAACATGGGGACCCCTCAATGCCAGCACAGACGTCCCGACGGCTGACACTGGTATGCGTGCCATGCACCTCAGCATCCACAGGAGACAGTCCCAAACTCTTCAAACTGCCCATCCCGCCTGTGCCTCACATAAAACGGCTCAGTGGGTAAGAGCACAGGGGACCTGAGTTCAAATCCCAGCACCTATATGAAAAGCCAGGAGATAGAGCCACATACACTGTAACTTCCATGCTATGGGGGAAGAGACAGGAAGACCACCCGGGATTTCTGACCACCAGTGTATTTCATGCTTCACTGACTCTTTTCAAGGAAATAAAGCACGTACAAACACACACAATACATGCATTTTAAAAATTGTGAGCCAGGCGTCATGGCGCTCGCCTTTAATCCCAGAACTCAGGAGGCAGAGGCAGGTGGATCTCTGTGAGTTCAAGGCCAGCCTGGTCTACAGAGCAAGTTCAGGGCAGCTATGTCTGTTACACAAGAGAAACCCTGTCTTGAAAAACAAAACAAAACAAAAAATGGTGTCACAGCCGATATACATCCACATTCCCGCTTTATCTGTGGGTTATTTACATCATTACATTGTTAAAGAACAATGAAAAGTCTGTACAAATTCGGTACAGAGAGATACACTTTTTTTTCTTATGTCTAGTGTTCTGTCTGCATGTACACCTGCATGCCAGAAGAGGGCACCAGATCACATTATAGATGATTGTGAGCCACCATGTAGTCACTGGGAATTGAGCTCAGGAAGAGCAGCCAGTGCTCCTAACCTCGGAGCCACTATGAAGCTAGTTGAATCTTCAGGATACAAAGCTTGTGGGTATGGAGGCCAACTCTGTGTTGAGGATTCAGTATCTGGATGCATACTGTTTTTTTCTACGTATATGCAAGAAGAAAACTGTATGTGTTTAGCGACATTCACTAAGTCTTAGGCTTCTGTCTATGCCAGTATTGATAATTCAGGGCTGACGCTGTGGCTTGATGAGATAGCATTTGTGTAGCATGGGTGAGGCTGGGCTCCAGTACTGTGTGTGTGTGTTTTGGGAGGGGGGTAATTCTACCTTCCAAATTTTTTGTTTTGTTTTGTTTTGAGACAGGGTTTTTCTGTGCAGCTCTGGACTCGCTTTGTAGACCAGGCTGACCTCAAACTCACAGTTCCTCCTGCCTCTGCCTCCCGAGTGCTGGGTTTGCTGGGATTATAGGCGTGCCCCATTACACCCAATTAGCTTGGTGTTTTTAAGCTACTTGGTACCCACTGTGAACGCCCACCGTAGCTGCATCTGTTGACGTGCATATCACTGCTGTTCTGTATGAAAAACAGATTAGAAAAGTTCTGCGCACGGCACGCATACCTCCCACCTCCCACTCAGGTTTTCTTAGGGTGCCTACTGCTGTGAGGAGACACCACGGCCAGGGCAGCTCTTACAAGGAAAGCAGTTAACTGGGGCTGGCTTGCGGTTCACAGGTTCAGTCCACGATTATCAAGGCGGGAAGCATGGTGGGAAGCAGGCAGACATGGCGCTGGAGAAGGATCTGAGAGGTCTATATCTGGATCCACAGGCAGCAGGAAGAGAGATGGCTTGAGACCTCAAAGGCCGGCCCTAGTGACACACTTCCTCAAGGCCACACCTTCTCCAACAAGGTCACACCCAATACTGCCACTCCCTATGGGGCACTCACGCACGATTCTATGGCGGCCATTTCTATGCACACCACCACAGGGCAGGGACGGGAAGACCAGGGGTTAAGGTCGTCCTCTGCTAGTCAGTAAGTTTGAAGCCAGCGTGAACTATATGAGACTCTGTCTCAAAAATTCCCCACTATAAATTAAAATACTTCTGTTTTGCGGCAGTGTCCTAGAAAGCATATAGGCCGGCGATATGAGTTTCTGATGTCAGTCATAGATGCCCTTTTGGTTAAACTGAGCCTGCGCTGTATTCCTGTCTAAAAAGCCATAACAGAACAAAGAGCCGAGCAGCACTGAAGTTCAAGCTGAAGCCCATGCTTCTGACATCAGGGCTCCACACAGCCTCCTGGGGACAGTGAGAAAGAGCTGCTGCTCGGAGCCACTGCCTTTGCAGAGAAGACGCTCATACAGGCCCCGCCCCATCCCACATGACTGCAGCAGGGACCAGCGGATTTCTGATAGTGGAGGGGTGGGGAGACACGGCTTATGACATCTAAAACCTGGACCTGTCTTAGCATCAGTAACATTCACAACAGCTACCTTCAAGTATTTCTCTTTTTCTTTTCTTTTCTTTTTTTTTTTTTTTTGAGAAGGTTTCTCTGTGTGGCCTTGGCTGTCCTGGACTTTGTAGACCACGCTGGCCTCTAATGCACAGAGATCTGCCAGTCTCTGCCTCCCAGAGTGCTGGGATCACAGGCATGCACCATCGTGCCCAGCCAGTATTTCTCTTTTTCAAACACAGCTCCTTATTTATCAGTTTCTCTAGTTTTTATGAATTGTCCTTATCATAAGGAAATGAAATACATCCTTGTTGTGGATATAAACAAGTTTTTGCTCTAATCCCAGGTGTGGGATATGGGACTGATTAATGATTCAGATGGTCCACAGCAACAGACGATTTTCTTCACGTGGACTCTGAAAGGAGCTCTTTGCCAGCTGCTGACAGTTTAAATCTGAGGACTCTGGAGAGAGAAGAAATGCCAGAGCCCAGAGAGTGTTGGGGAGCTCCAAGAAAGAGCAAGGAGGCTGCTGCTTCCTCCCTTGACTCCTGTTGCTGTTGTGAGACAAGAAGTTGGAGATCTCCTGAAACAAGGATTGGACTGTCTCCAAGGAACCCTACAACCCTACCCAGCAGGAAGCAGCTAAGAGAACTGCGCCCTCTCTCCCACTAACCCTTTCTCTCTCCTATCTGGTGTTGGAAGGGATTGGGGTGGAGTAGGGAGAAAGCGACATTAAAAATGTAAATAAGCAGGTTATTGAGTACACCAACACATCTGGCTGCTCTGGAGGTGATCTCCTGCCAAGAATCTCCCATAGCACTTAGATAAAATCCCTGGTATTAGCTGCAGACATGGATTTTAAAAACAATTGTTAAAAACCACAGAGAAGCCAGGGAGTGTAACTCATCTGGGAGATGGCCTGACTAGCATGCTCGAAGCCTTGGGTTTGCGCACTAACAGTGCAAAAATCTCAACACTGGGGAGACGGGTGAGGCAGGAGGATGAGATATTCATGACTAGCCAGAGCCACATGAGACCCTGAATCAAAAAGCCAGAAAGTTCACCGGGTAATTGCCAACTGCAAACACCGAGTTCAGTGAATAAGAGAGAGGCCCCTCTCTGCCGTTAACTGAGCTGTCTTGTGTGAGGAAATGACTAGCTGTCCAGGAACCATTGCACAATCTGTACAGAAGACTGGGTTCCAGCCCAAGCTCCTGTGGTTTCGCTCCTGGCCACGCAGGTCTCTGGCATATCTGGTGATCCCGTGTCTGGCACTGCCCCAGTGGCCTGGCAGTAAATGCCCGCTCAACACTGACTGAACTATGTGACTTGAGGCAACGCAGCACTTATTCCCTCTGGGCCTCTGTTCCCTCGAAGTAAAAAGGAGGCAGCCACGCTGCAGAAGCCAGCAGACAGGACGCTGCAGAAGCCAGCAGACAGAAGGACGCTGCAGAAGCCAGCAGACA